ATGAGTTTACTCCACAATTGCGTGACGTAAGCTAGGAGGTTCCCTGTGGATCGCTGATGCCGGAAACCATACTGCATGTCGCTAATCAAGCTGTGACGTTCGAGGTAGTCCAGAAGCTCGCGATTTAGGCCCCTCTCCACCACCTTACTTATAACAGAAAGCAGAGCTATAGGCCTGTAGTTGTAAGGGCCGGTCTTATATCCCTTTTTTGGGATGGGTTAGACATGAACGAATTTCCAGTTTTCTGGGAAAGAGCCAGATACATAAGATATCTGGAAGAGACGCGAAAGAACTGGGGCAAGCTCCGCTGCAAACCTCTTCAGTACAGTGGCAGGAATTAAGTCCGGACCAGAAGCTTTGTTGATGTCGAGAGACAAGAGCACTCGTCTTACGGTCTTATGCCTGAATGTTACCTCCCGCATAGTGTAGGGAACCCTTTGAATTGACCGTACTTGGGCGTTGGTGGAGTTGGCAGCAAAGATCTTGGCAAGCACTTCCGCGTTGGCGTTTGAGTCCGATACCATCGTTCTATCCTGACACGTAAGTGGTGGAAGGCTACTGTGTTAGAAGTTCTTCTCAATCTGATTGGCCAGAATCCAGAAAGACTGTCTGCTATTGCGCTGTGACATTACCCTGTGGCTAACTCTTATATCGTGTTGTTTTTTGGCATTGGGAACCGCTTCGTTATATGTGTTTCTAGACTCGACGTCGGCTAGTCTGTTCTTTACAGTGGAGTTTTATAAGAAGGTTTTGTGTGCGTTGATCTTCTGCTGGCGAGCAGTGTCAGGATTCGTTAAAACAGCCGTTGAACATTGGTTTAGGAACTTTCACTGTATGAGGGATGTATTCCTCCATTCCGACGTAGATAATTTCTGTTATCGAAGAACAGACAGTCAACGCACCCGCGTCAGTGAAACTGACGTCTCCCCAAGGAGAGGTAGAGAAGAAGTTGCTAAGCCCCTCCCAGTCGGCATCTCCATAATGCCAGTTTTTGGGGCCTGGCCGAGTTTCTGCTGCCACATCGGGTTATGGCCGAAACCTAACCTCCACAAAACCGTGATGTGGGTCACACAAGGTGCGTGGTCAGAAGGAGATCCAGCGGGCTACTGGCATATGACGAGACGGGGGTGAAACAAGAAGGGGGTCAACCATTGAGTAAGAGCGAACGCTTCAACTGCACGACCTGCTGCATCGGTCTTGTTTGAGCCCAACCAAAGCAAATTATGGTCATTGAAATCACCGAGGAGAACTACCTCTGAAGCAGGGTGATTGATGTTCAGGATCTTGACGGCGAGGCATTTAAGAAGGTCATCCCAGTTATGGTCCGATGAAGAGCGATAAAGGCAGTAAATACATTTGGGGGATGTTTTGTAATTGAGGCGAAGCCGCAGAATGTCCTTCCGGTCTGATTTTAGTAGGAAAGACTGCTGCGGACAAAGGCCACAACTCCACCGTTCTTTCTTAGATTGGAGTGCATTTCGTAATTTGGTGCGGACTCTGAGATGCTTGACTCCGCCAAGAAAAGCATGGCGGAGTTAATCCCGCAGATATTCGTGAAACAAATTTTATCTTCGATTTTATTCTCTCGAGTCTACCCTCCACCCGGACATTTCCGGGAGTGGAGTGAGTTTACGTCCGGAATTCTTAGCATTCGAGGGATCTATCATCATTGATTTCTTTGTTTTGGAAGATAACCGACTGCATAGCTTCAGGTTTGGAAACATGCGGACATTTATAAGACATCCGCCACCCGGCAGTCGGTACTGCGGGATTCCTTATGGCGTGAACAATCACTTGAACGGGAAAAAGTTGTATACTGGGTACAACAACTTCCGGAACAAACATTTGCCACGGGGTTGGGGCTTTTGAACATTCATTATAGATGTTACAGTTATTTTTCAGACTTTCGTTGTCGAAGTTAGATTTAGCAACATAAATAGACACATGCGCGGGAGATATGCGGGACGTGTGGTATTGACTTTGAGCATCGATCAACGCAGTTTCTGGACAGGCCACAGGCGCATCGCTAAACAAATGTCATAAATGTCTATTTCCAATGTAGGCGTTCACCTAACATAGTGTTTCGCTACAACACCAACTCCGAACAAAATCAGTCAATCTTTACACACTTTTCAAATTACTATTGAGCAACAAACTGAACATAAATCACGTTTTAAGTGCAATCTGTATATCTAATATATTACCCAGACTTAGATGTTTCACAAGTCACAATACTCGTATATACGTGTAAATCGTAACGATTGTGCTGTAAACAATGATATTAAAGAGGCTCAGTTCATAACTTATAATTAGTATGCCTCTGTCGCCATGATGTGTCAGAAGGTAACACAGTGGTGTTAGATTACAAAAGCTAGTGTCAGACTTCTAGTGGGGCGCCCCTCTAAATCCGCCACTGGCCTCCCTTGACTCTAGTCTTACGGTCTGATGATTAAATTAGTTAACTATTGTGTAAAAAACAGTCATCTATAATAACCATTTCAAGTTTAAATTTGCTCACATTAGATAGTTCGCTAAAATGTAAGTTCAATCAATTGCGCAAGAATACTTAGTAGATACAAGTACGTATCCCGTATTCACAAAATTTGCATCGTATTCATTTGATCTTGAAATATCCATACATATAAATAATAATCTTTGCTTCTGTCAGTGAAGTAGTAACAAAGACCTTATAAGAGTTATTGTAGTTTTTTCGAACATTTCTATTTATATTATCCGTTTAAATTTAGCATTGATATTAATTTTCTCAGAAAAATATCTCACTTGTTCTCACTACTTTTTTTAAAAAAATCTCACTTATCATAGTTAAATTAATGGGTTTGTTCGCCAGCAACCCTGTTGTAACTTTTTTTAGGACTAGGTTAAAAATGCAAAAAAATATTTTTTACGTTCAAGTGATGAAGTCAACATCTTCGACAGGTCACAGAGGTTATCAATGTGTAATCAGTGCTGTTGGTGTTTGCATGTTTGCAACGATCTGATATCCACTTCTTTAATTAATGTTCAAATACAGGATTTGTGACATGACAATTTTTGGGTACTTATATCTTATGTATTTTGAGACCCTTAAATCAAATCTAAAAACAGATATTTTCTATCACCCACAGATATTTAGTAATATCTACTTTTATGAATTACAATGCGTAACATCTCATATTACCGTATTTCTCGGCGTTTATGCGATGACCTGTCTATTCCTGTTTATTATATGCGAGCTCTGTGTTCAGAGAGCAGTAGTAGACTAATAGCAGCCAAGTCAGTTACGTTTTCTGTATTGAAAGTACTGAGATGTTCGGAGTACTGTTAATTTTTGTTGAAACGGTGTGTTGTTTTTCGTTTATTGTGATCGAGACTAGCTTTATGGACAATGCCTAGAAATTGTGTAAATAGTGCGAACAGTTTTTGTTATGTGTGCGGAGAGCTAGCTTTTAAATCGCAAAATCGTGCTTTTAGTCCCCTTGTGTTGAAAGCATTCGAAGCTTATTTTGTAATTGAAGTTGGCGACCAAGATAAACTATGGGCTTCTCACATATGTTGCAAGACTTGTGTAACGTTGTTAACAGATTGGTTAAGAGGCGACAATCGTAAAATGCCCTTTGCGGTACCAATGGTTTGGAGATAACCGAGACCATACTACTGATTGCTATTTTTGCCTCACAATTATTAAATGTATTGAACCAAAATCGAAACATACTGTTAAGTATTTTAATTTACCATCAGCTTTGCGGCCCGTTAAGCATAGTGATGAACTTTCTGTCCCAGTTCCACCAGAATCTTGGTCTTTGGATGAAAAAGTCGAATCCACCGATTCTGAAAGTGATGGTACAGAAAGCGTACAAATTTCTGAACCTCCGTTTGACCTGCTAGGATGTTCAACAGCGCCGCATTTGATCACACAGGGCGAAGTTAATCATTTAGTTCGAAAATTAAATCTGTTAAAATCCCAATCGGAACTTTTAGCGTCAAGATTAAAAGGATGGATTCTTCTTCACGGTGATGTTAACATTACTTTTTACCGAAAACGGCAACAAGAAAGGGAGTTGATTGATATATTGCTCCGATGTCAACAATTTGTTTGACGCGTTAGGACAGAAACATTATCCAAATGATTGGCGCCTGTTCATTGATTCCTCTAAGCTTAGTTTAAAAGCGGTAGAATCATATGAAAATGTGCGAGTTCTGTTAGAGCATATCCGTTATAATGAATATGGATGGGCCATATGTGCAGATTTAAAGGTAATATCCCTTCTGCTAACCAAATATTGTTGTGTTCTTTGTGAATGGGACGGTCGTGCGCGAGGTCGTCATTATGAACAGAAGGAGTGGCCACTACGGCAGGTATTAACTCCGGGCCCCAGAAACATTGCTGATGAATCACTAGTTGATCCCAAAAACGAGTTGAATATTAAGTTGGGACTTCTTAAAATTTTTGTGAAAGCTATGGATCCAAATGGAAGAGGGTTTCTGCATTTAAAACAAACATTTCCGAGACTTAGTTAGGCAATAATTAAAGAGGGCATATTTGTGGGTCCACAAATACGGAAAATCATGAAGGATGATATATTTGACAGTGCTCTAAATGAAACTGAATTACGAGCTTGGAATGCTTTTAAATTAGTTACTGCAAATATTTTAGGCAACGTGAAGGCGAACAATTATAAAGATATTGTGAATGAATTAATTAATGCTTATAACGGAATAAAATGTAGCATGTCTCTAAAAATTCACCAAGACATTTCTGCTAAGGAAAAACGGTATCAAGTCAAATGGAGTGTCAATTTGCTTGCTGATTATTGCTGGGCATTGTAAAGAGATACTTCAGGAGCAACATATCGCCGTAAAACATCGACAACAACATTCTGAGATTAATGTTTATTCGAGTGTTTATTAGTACTCTTACACACATATCCTTATATTTTACGAGTATAAGCAGCAAATAAAATGCCTTTATCAAAAATTCATAACATATACATTGTTTCTTATCAATTATTTTCAATATTTTCTAACTAATTTGCATGAACTTAATTGAATTGCTCATTTGATGTGTAGATGGCAACAGGCTGTGTATGAGTTTGGGTGATGGCTAGTAGGTAATGATGTATGATATGAAATGTTTCTTGGTGGAACAACTTGAGAAACGTATTAACTGTATTAACTCAAGCACACTCAGTGGAAAGTATCTCAGATCAAGTGACAGCCAAGTGATCTACAAGAACACACACCATCAACTTTCCAAACAAGGCTTGGGTGGTTGTAATGAAGCAGCTATTCCAGTAAATAATTGTTTACTTTATATTACTTCTGTTTTGTGATACATTTATCAGATAATTTTGTAGCATTTTTCTAAGAGAAAATGCTGTACGGTTTGTTCGTACAGTAGTCGGTAACTCGTCCGTGACTATCAAAATCAGAATCATTACCTGTTCGTACAGTTTCTGACTGTTTGCCAACTGCTAATCCGCTGTTTGTACATAACCTTCTAACAGATCAGAGGACACCAGTCAACCAGTGACAGATATCAGAGTGTGTGTCGAAACTATCTTGAGGACTAAAATTGCTTCGCAAAAGGCATTTAATGATCGATTACTCTTCTGTAGTTGAGGGTCTGGGATACCTTCACATCGACGGGCCGTTGGAGATCTAGCTACGCCAACCGGATTTGCTCCTCAGAGCTCTCTCCCATGGTGTCGCCGCGCCATATGCCTGCCTGTCTTTGGCCTCCCATCGTAACCGTGTCGAACTTCGTACACCTAGAACTGACCGATAAGACCTCTCCTTTGTCCCGAGGGTGTCAAGAATGTGTAACAATACATTAGGAGCTTTTCCCAGTTCTACTAACTTTAGGCAATTCAAAAATGGAAATAACAAACTTTCTTTAAACTCCTCAAAGCAGCCGCGGTACAATGCCATATAGGCTTCACTGCGCGACTGCTTCGGTGTAAAAAAACTGAGCGATACACCCAGAACATGAAGACCTTGAGGATCTACTGAAGGAGAGAAAGAAACCCAAAAACCTGAATTTTGTGGAGAACAGTGCCACAATTCAACAGCAACTTTCGGGTGAGCAAGTGGCAGATAAAATATTTTGTTTATTGACCCGGTAATGGGAAAATGAAGATTATGAATACAGCATGAAACATCCGAACAATAGTGGACCTAACTTTGAATAATTGATAATTTTTATCACTAATCTTTTGAAAAATTTTGTTACAGTTGCAAAATGCGAAATTACGCGATTTAAGTATGTAATTTCGTAGTCTCAGTTCTTCTTGTCCATGTTGAGAACACTGTGAAACATATAGCTATGTAAGCAGATCTGGTTAATTTTATTGTAGTTATGTTGAGCCGTTTTAGCTTTTTAGTGTATAGCAGCACCCTTTGTTATTCAAAGACGTTATTAAATCCTTGTACTATTTTTGCTTCTTTCTTCTAGTGAGAGTCTGCATATACAAGGCAATTCAAATTCGGCGCTCACCATCGGGATCTTGGAAACTGTGAGAGATACGAAGTCAACTAAATGGGGGTAGTCAACGAAATGACACTTAGAAAGTTTAAAAATTCGAAGTACTTCCGCAGAGTGACGGAAAAACTGAATTTTCCCAAAATCGTTTTGATTTTTTCCTGACTATTTATATTGGGATCTTAAAATAAATTACACATTAACATTGCCACGTTTTCTCCTCTTCAAGAAAGCATAATCAGAGTTTTTATATGACGGTTCGTCTCTTGACCTCCAGCATCACCTTTATTATCTCTTTAGGACAGAGTTTTTAATTTTGATCCAAAAAAATGCATAGACGTTGCCAAACCTTGATTACTTAAAAAAAGAATTTCTTAGGTAGGACTTGAAATTATCAGATATTTGTTTCGCTCACCAAAATGGCTTTATTTTTTTCCTGACTTTATTTGAGACTTCCATCATCAACTTTGCTTTTTCAAACGGACGCTATATTGGAATTTTGTACATTTAAATGGACTTTTCAGCTCCAAATTCAGTGATGTATTTCGTTAGTTGACCATAAATTTATTGTTGAATGAAAATTATAAGGAATTGAAAAGATATGGTGAAATCTGAACACGAAATGAAAATTTTATTGATGGTAATATAACAATAATAACCCTAAATGAAATCTGATAATTTCAAAGCCTACCTAGGAACTTCTGGAATAACTAAGGTTTTGCAATGTCAACGTATAACATATTTTACATTTGTGAAATCTGAATAAAAATTCTATCCATGTGTGTAAAAATCCATATGTCGTCTACAAGAAAAAATTAAGGTAATGATAATTGCTCTGTCTTGAAGAGGAGAAAATGTGGAAGAGCTGATGTGCAACTTAGTTTGAAATTTCACCACAAATAAAGTCAGAAGATTAAAACCATTTTGGAAAATTTAGTTTTTTACGACTCTTTCCGGAAGTACGATTAATTTCAAAACCTAAGCGACATTTTGCTGATTATCTGAATACGCAACTTTGCCCCTATTTTAGCGACTTAGTATCACTTAGAGTTTCCGACATCCCAATGGTGAGGGTCGAATTTAAATACCCTATATAGACAAATATTTTTTCACCCCAGCACTCCCTCTCCGTTGGCGCCCGTGAAAGAAAGCTGTATCACAAAATCTCCAGTATTCGTTATTTTGTTTTTCTTTTCATCAGCTTTGGGCTGGACTTGCGCAGCTATAATATATAAATACTGTTTGTGCATACGCTTGAAGACTGGGCGACAACGGAACAGGAACAAAAACACTACTATCCGAGTTTCACTAAAAGTTATTCACAATACTTTGTACATTTCTCACGCATCACTGTAGACGTTTATTTAAAATTCTTACTATTCCTTCTTCAAGTTGTCATTCGATGCGTCGAATCATATTCGAATTTATTGTTATACTTTCTACTACTACTAAATCTACTTGAGATTTTTGAGTGCTGTTATTTTTTCTAGAAAGTGTCCCATGTTTTCCTCTCTACAGGAAAATTCGGGCACATTCGGGCAGTTGGACGATAAATCCTAGATCATTATGATTTACAGCAAGTGAACATACTCCAACTTTTCCAAAATTGTCTACTTCATTGTGAAAAAAATGTACACTCGAATAATAATTATTGTACTTGATTTCGAGCTCTGACAATTTAATGGCAAATTATGTGCTGACTAATTTGACAGTCATCAAACAGTCAGAAGTTTCTGTACGAACAGCGGAATAGTTGTCGGTAATCAGTCTTAGCTCCCTCAGCCAACTCGTAACGTTCTCTTGTACGGAATCTATACAGTCAGAGACTATCAGTTTGCTGATCGTCAGCAAACAGGCTGCACGAACAAACCAACAGACAATTGACAATTGTTATATTTCGTATGTGTAATGATCTTATGTTTGTGTGTATGTGTTATGCCAATGCGATTTCGTTTTATTGTAATCAGAAAGTAAAGATAATATGTTTTGATTTTCTATTTGAGCTTTCTCTTATTTTCGATTAAATGTTATTTCTTGTTACAGATAAAGTTTTCGTCACCGTAATTTATTACTCTGGAGCTGCCACATTGAAGCACGAGTTTGAGAATTTGTCAGTGAAATACCTTCGCACCAAATTGGACAGAGGAAGACTGAAATATTAGTAAGCATTGCCTGTATATGAGGATATGGAATCAACTGCCGATATTCGAATGATAGTTCAAGTTGTTCGACCTCATCTACCAAAAACTTCGTATGTTATATTTGGGACCATCTGCAGGTGAGACTGCGGGTTTCATTGCTTTTACTGGTTGTGCATTTGCTTAAAATTTTTTATAGGACGACGTTTCGGTCCCAAGGGTGAACTTCATCTAGTTTAATTGAAATTTATTGACAGTATATTTTATCTGTCTTCCAAGTGTCCCTGCGTTTGTTTTTTCCATTTATCTCCACTTCACTAGTACCAGGCGGTGATGGCCATGAGGTAATCACTGTGTGTGGTCAGTGCTACCAATTTTTGCTATAATCCCAATGTCGAATTTTCGACAGGATATACGTCCGCGTATAAGATAAGAAATGTTTCTGGGTGAAACAACTTGAGAAGCGTGCGCAAATTCTCTAGTAATTCAAGAATAGATACAGTGGAAAGTATCTCATATGGAGATGCAGTGAAGTGATCTACAAAAACAAAAAGAAAATATAGGCCACAACACACCATCAACTTTTGTCTTTTCTGATGACCAAGAAACCTTTCCAAACAAGGCATGGCTGGTTGTAACGAAGCAGCTATTCCAGTAGTTAATTGTTTACATTATACTACTTCTGTTTTGTGTTTCATTCATCAGACAATGGTTATATATTCGTTGGTGTTTGTGTTGAATTTCTGATTGTGTGTATGTCTTATGCCAAAGCAATTACGTTTTATTGTAATCAGAAAGTAAAGAAATATTGTTTTGATTTTCTATTTCAGCTTTCTCTTATTTCCTATTAAATTTCTTTTCTTGTTACAGATATGGTGTCCGCGAAGTTAGTGCTCAAGGCGGCAAAGATTTCGTCACCGTAACATATCACCTTAAGGCTCACATCGAAACAGAAGTTTTTGAATTTGTCGGTGCGACACCTTCGCACCAAACTAGACAAAGATGAAGAACTTGAATTATTATAAAGTATTGTCTGTAGGTGTAAGTTTGATTTACTGCCTGAAGAGATGAAATCAGCAGCCGATATTTGAATGGTTGTTCAATGTTTTCGACCTCATCTACCAAAAACTTCATATGTTATATATGGAACAACCTATAGGTGGTGTTACCGGTTTCATTGCGTGTCCTGGTAGTGCATTTTCGAGAGACAATATATCTTGAATATGATTGTCTGGCCAATCAAAACGACACATATGTAAAATTCTTTCTTGGACAACCATTCGGTTCCAACGGTGACCATCATCGACTTTAATTGAAATTTATTGGCAGTATATTTTATTAATCTTTTTTCCAGTTTCACATTACTTTACAGTGTGTTTGTTCTATTACAATAGTCCGAAAGGTCCTGTAACATGCTAAGATTCCGCGAAGCAATCATTGTAATTTTAGGATGGTTCTGCGCAAAACTAGCTGAGCCCAGGACTGCTTGGGTTAGGCATTCCGTCCCCAAAAGAACGTCCAGCTTTCTAAATCGATAAGCGAGCATAAGGTCGTTTTCAATGTACCAGTCACGTCACACTCCCCCATCGTCCCGAACATGCCAAGTCCAACGAAAACGTGAAGACAAAACCAGAACTGTATTCCTAACACATTGGTTAGTTGTTATGTAATCTTCGACTAAAATGCTGCACGTGATGTGCATTTATGGATCTGAATAATATAAGACGCAACAGTTTGGCCGTGAGGTGCGAAGTAAAATGTCTACGGAATTGACATCTAATAACAAACTATAAAAAAAAACCTTGAAAAAGGTCATGGTCTGTTAGTTATGTTGGAGAATACAAATTAGTTCTTTCCTTCAAGGATACTCAAACAAACAACCAACAGTCCACTAGAGAAGTAGAAAGAGAGTTGTTAAATTTCATACAGACAGTTATTGTTATTACAAAAATAAGTTAAAGGAATCAGCCCGAATGAAGTGAGTGATGGTCCATCCGTGGGCATACAAAACAAAACAAAACCGGCAGCAAATTCTCACAAATCTATAGATCCATATTCTTCAGCTCCCGATTTTTCAACTTCAAAAATGCAGTATTGACAATACCGTCCTAAGTGCAATGCGAAACTTCTAGAACTACCTAGTGCCTAACATAAATCGTCTTCATAATTCTTCCTTTTTGTGAATTGGAAACTGAAATTGTTGATTATTACCGTATTTAATGCTGAAATAAACAGTTGGGGTTCGTGTTGCAAATCCCATGTCTAATCTCTCAAAACAGGTTATTCACCGGAACTTCCTACCAACTTCTGAAATGCCATTACTGATCAGTTTTTAGCCATGTATATAACAGGTTTGTACTCATAAAACACTCTTACATGAAAACTGTTTATTGTCCAAAAACGAAAATACGCATCTGAAGATGAGTAATGCAGTATAATTTACGAAATTTCAACTGTAATATGAACTTATAAAGTTAACATATGCCATTTAACAACATATTTGGTCTTCATATTCTACTACAAAAAAACACTTACATACTTATTACAGATTGTAGAACATTTATTGTCGTTGTGAGACGGGCTCATGTAACACCTACGTCATTTTTTACTTTAACAACTGCAAGGATCAAGAACTCTGGGCTGAGAAGTCGACGGCTTCTTTGCATGGCTGAACGAAGCTCCCTAGGTAGTCTTGGTTCCGATAAACGTCGTCTCAGATGAAGTTCAATTAGAGTTTGCCTCAGGGAACAATAAAATTTCGTCGCCTAATAGAATTTCCAGTCCCAGACCGGAACAAAAACAAAGGAATTTACAGAAGCTGTATGCATAATAGGATACCAAATAGTACAAGGCCATCTTCTCGTTCTTTAACCTGTATTGTAATTTACATACTTCCGATCTAATGCATCACCTCCCGCCTTCATGGAGTGATACAAATAATATAGAATCATATCAGGCTTCTTTGATTCTTCTACTATTTTGTTATCATACTGCAATACGAGAACGTGTTTCTTCGGTTTTAGAACTTCGACACTAAGGTTGTAGTGCAAGTGTACATAAACTTAGAAGTACCTGGCCGTGTTTTATTATTTAGAACTACATATTGAGGTATTTTTTCTTATTTTTACGGTTCCTCCCGACATAGGTCAGTTGGCTGTTGCGCAATTCTACATCTAATTCTATTGACGTGAACCAGTGATGTGCGGTGATATTTCTGTTCGTTTAGACGAAAGCATTGAGCAGGTAGTGAGTATTTGCATCACAAAGGCATAGCATCTTCAGTCCCTACTTGTTCTGTTTAGTATTCTTGTATGTTCAGAAAGAACATCGGCCCACGAGCAACTCGTCTTTTGCAGGGACTCACCATGATATAACAATTCCCTCAGTTCGGTATGAATATCTCAAACATTTCACGTATGGCGTAATGTATCTGCCTTTCTCGAGTCACTGGTAGAAATACTATGAAACCTCTATGTGGCTAGCAAAAACATGAACCTCTTTAGGGGCCTAGTAGCACGGAAAATGTCTCTGCCAGTGCAGTCTGATGCAAATAAACCTTCGACATTTTGATGGTTGGATTTGAAAACTGATGTCAAATAGAGCTAGCCAAAAATGCTTTGATCTCGGCTGAATCTGTGTAATTTATATATGAAGCTGTTTTTCCATATTTACTGGATATATTTTCTTATTTGTACAATCCACAATTTTGCTAATAATTTCATCGGTTATGAGAAGAGATCTGTAGTTGACAGGTACTTATCTTCCAAATTGCTTGCCACGGGTTTTAGTTAGGTTAGGTAAATACGTAATAATATTATGTCGTCTGGTTCGACCATTTGCAGGCGCAAATTTTGACCATTTGTGCATGATTTTGTCTATAATCATAGCCTACGGATGTTAGTGGAAAGTCTGAAGAACAGTCCGAGTCCGCTCTGTACGGTGTCAAAATCGAGGTCGACCACAGGAACTTGTTCGGGTTGATCGATAACAGCGTCGTCCTCGGTATCGTCTATGGTGTATTGGTGTATTGTTCATCCGTCAATAATGAAAAAATCCATTGTGAAAGAAGTTCAAAACGTACACGCAACTTGGTATCGCCGGGTCAAATTTGAATATGAGAAGTCACGGGATCCCACCTCATAACTGAGAAAGAGTCGAATCAGAGACGAATTAAGATGCTCTGGGTCAATTTTCACACCCGATGATACCATTAAAGGATTAAATTCTTCATATTCCTAAACGAATCCATAAAATGGAATGAACTTTGTCCGTGAATATTCTCCGAGCAAAGCGTCTCAAGTGCAGTTTTGATCTCTGCGCCCTGATTACAAATAGTGCATAGTATCCTTCACTAGATAATAAGCCACATCCTGCTTATAATTTTTACGCATCCTCATGTCAACAAGGGCGTGATTAGCGAACTTGTTAGTTATCTTCTCTTCTGTTATCCACAATTGACTTTCAATGATTTCCATAAACTGATGTTCCCCTAATTCTACAAAGATTAAATTGAGCTCAATCGCCCATCTTGTTCAACTGTTTCTTAACCAAGACAACTTATTACAAGTGATATGGTGAATTTGGTATATTTTAGATTTCCTATCTGTTAAATCACTTTTACAGAGTTCTAGTTTGCTTATAATTAGACCATACCATAAAGGGGTTTCCCATTAAAAACGTAAGCGAATTCTGTTTCTTCACGGGTAGACGTAATCCTTTGATGAACGTGTGCACCTTGGCCCGTTACATCGCGCTGCTGGAAACAGCAGCAGATACTCTGGAGGTAAATTGTCATTATAGATAGTTGATTTTGGCATTCATTAAAACACTTAGTACTTGACTCCTGAGTTGAGTGAAGGAAGTTTTCTGACGTGAGGTATTAAGGAATTAAAAAAATGAGATCCCTATCGTCATCAGTGATATCCTATTTTTCTAGCAATGATCTTTTCTAAATCAAAAAATGCTTTGTCCAAGTCATCTGTTTTGCTTCGAATTATGAGTTATTTTCTTTGTAATCTCATAGTTGTGCGAGGATTATAAGTAAGTCACCTTGTACGAAGAATTCGGCAGTGTAATTGTTGTTGGCAGTAATGCTTTTAAAATATTAATTAAGATTTCATTCCATATCTCTTCACGGTTACGACGTAGTTTATAGACTACCACTCCCTCCATATGCATGCTTACGGGTAGAAACTAACATTGGGCGTTTTTAATGCATCTAGTTATACTCCAACTCATAATTAGTATTATTTCCCCGGAACACCAATGAAAGCAGTAGTTTCTGACAGGCAACTTGTTTCTATGCTAAACGGAATGCGGAGGTTAAATAGAATTTTAACGAGTAGAAATCTTCTTTGGTATATGGGTCTTTTTTTATACTCCAACTACCACGAAGGCCTAAGGCGTAAACACCCATTGGGTACCGTGGGGCTATGGGGGGATACAGGGGCAAGGGGGACGCCACACGGACTCTGGCGAGGGAACACGTGTGCATGCAACATGCACACATTCTGGCTCCGCCTACGAGATCTGCCGGGTGGTACCTCCACGTTCGACAGTCAGAGACCGTCTACCACCTACGGACAATCACAACATCCATAGCCAAGAGAAAATTTTCTGCTGGGACGGGACTCGAACCCGCACAGCGCAGGAGACCGAAGAGTCTACTACTGCGGCCACCGCTGCTGCCTCGTATAGTAAAACTAAAAGAACATGAACACATAAAAAAACATAAAACCAAAAGAACATGAACACAAATTAAAAATTTACATACATTCAGTGCTACTATCATTACATGATAGAAAAACAAATTGCATACGACGATGGGCATAAAAATGTAGGAGCTAGATTTAAGGTTCCTCAATATCGTCATTCATGATGGCCCGGCAGGCTGCACACACTTCATTGTGATCAGGACATAGCAGGTGACAGTTTCTGCAAGAATGCATGCGCGAGACAACATGTACCTCATTGTCATCTTTTGCTTCCTGTTTATTCTGGATCACTTTGTCATCTAAGGCCATTTGAGCCATATCGTGATCAATGACCTCTAAGAAGTCATTAACTTCGGTGTCTGTCATCAGGGAAGATGCATCCGGATCATGAATCAGTGTTACAAGCAAATCTGAAACCGATGAGCATGGAAGCGTCTCCCCAAAGCTCTCAACAATTTTTCTCAATCTGGCAACACTCCGGCTTCTATTTACTTTCAGTTTGGAGAAAAATGCAGCGCGAAATCCGCTCCTCAAATATCTAGTAGAGCAAGTAGTATGGGTAATAGTACGACGAGAGGGGCCTTGTCTCTGTTGCTGGGACTTCCTCAGTGCCTCTGCGGTCTGTTCGGTCTGTCAGGAGGTAACCCTCTGTCGCGTGAGTCATTAACCACACAATGAAGCAACATGGAGGACAATTTTTTGTTGGTATTGTTATAAAATTTTCTGGTCATTTTTGTAAGGTTCGTTGTTTTTTCGGTGGCTGAACCGAAAACGGCGAATGTGGAGAGTTTGAATTAAATAGTCTGTTTCTTCGAATACATTTTTCTCACTCAGATCTTTTCTCGTCCTGTTTCGTCTCTCCATCCCCAAGCTCTGCCACAACTGAAGACACTTGGTTATTTCCCTCTATCTCTTTTGGGTGAATATAGCCCGAAGAAATAGCCCTGTGTATAAGAATCCTTATATCGACTATCCCCTGAGCGACCTCTGGGTATTTTATTACATTCTTTTTTAAATTTGACTTTGATGTTCTTCCATTCGTTCTTTACGTTCTCTTATGAAAAATAAAATGCTCTCCATAACCAAACCGTCGTCAGAAAAATTTATATTTCTTACATCACTGAAGTAAATTGTTGTAAAATGTATTAACGTAAACATGATCGTGTTTGTGTAAGATTATAATCAATATATTTTATATCGCCCTTAAACCCCTGACATTTGACAGATTTCATTTTAGTGGTTTTCCAGGTGTTTAGCAACAGGCTAATAATACCCGTAAAAACCTTTGAACAATGTAGCTAAAACAGAGTTCATTGGATCAAATCAAATATATATAATAATAAAGGCCTATTATTAATTATTATTATTATTATTTTGATGCGCTACAACTACATTACGTTAGCTAGATGAACTCTCTTGTTGATGTCCTAGTGCACCCATATACATACAAGCAAATAATGACGCCAATTACTGTACTATACGTAGTAGGTGATTACGTTCTAGCAAAGTCTGAGCGAGAGATATTCCTTTGGTCACGTTTGCAACTTCTTGATACAATACGTTATACTCATTTCGTAAACATGTATTATGATATATTAACTCCCAATTGTTCTCTCCGCCGCAACTCCTGACCAGCATCCGAATGTATCAGGAAATGGGTGGCCTTCACATTTTCAGAGTCTATCAATAGAAACAGTTAAAATGTTCGTTCCCTGATGAGACTGATCTAATGTGATACCTGACATTATAACCTGCATAGAAGTATTGCAGTACAAAGAGCCAAACAAAATGTGGTGCTACCGATTTCTTATACTACAATTGAGTAGCAGACTTTCATAAACGGCTATGCTATGTTCCAGATAAATCGAGAAATGTAACAAAAACTGCCGTGTATCTGCAAATACCTGATATCGGCAAAATTATGCAAGAAAATCACATGTCCACATACATACTACAAAAAGGATTAACTGAAGAATATCAGAATTTCGTTCTTTGACCTAAAATGTATTTCGTTTAATGCGCTTTGTTTGTCTAAAGGTGAATCCTTTTCTGTGGGAAGCGGTAGCTTAATCCAAATTATTTTTCATTTACCGATACAATAGTTTTCTTAGAGGTGCATTAAAAAAAAACTGATCAAACTTTCACTCCGACGACATCTTTGATGCAGTTACATTCCCTTTGGGCATTATCTTCATCACGATTATCTTGCAGTCCTGATGCTCTGAAAAAATTGGAAGAATTGATCCTCACGCCATCCTTCTGAAGATAATTGCACCAAAAGTTTTCAACTTTTTCCCTTTTATTTTATGATTTAAAGGCAGGCTTTTAAATATTAAATTTTCAATCCAATTTTCAATCCGTTGATTCCTTTTTATCAACGTTGGATTGTCACGTGCCAAAATCACGTAACCTTTTTTATTAC